ACTAGGTCTGAAAAACCCGAGGCCCCAAGTCGGGGCGGCCTGCGTGGTAAGATGGCGCCGGTGGAAGAGCTGCCTCCTCTTAGTGATGGGGAAAGGGTCATAAATCCGTTGTTGTTTATGAAAATTTACAACTTTGCAATACAACTTTATGAGTTGTTCGGCCCTTCCATTGGCCGCTGTCGGTCATGTGGATGGGAACCGTGAACATGAACTTTTTTATAATTTCCCTTGCGAGAATAGAGCCGCATTCTTTTGCTCGGCTCCGTCCTGCCTGCTTCGCAGCTCTGCCTTCCAGCCGAGCTCCACTGCGCTTTGTCCAGGGATGGCGAGCGAGGGGAGGCTCCGTCTGGCCCAGCTCGGCCGCTCCAGCTGGAGGTGGGGCTCATTCAGCTCCCGTCGCCGAGGCCGCCGCTTTGCAAGTCGCAACCTGGCTAATATCCTGCGTCCTCTGGTACCAGGATGGAGGACTATTCATCTCTCGGGCTGCTCAAGCTACAGCTGTCAGAGGGGCAGGAGCTCCTGGGAGCCGCCATCTGAAGGTGAGACAGTGGGGAGGAGACAGCAGCAAAGGTAGTGCGATGAGAGCCTAAGGCGGCAGCGGTAGGACACGGCACCCCGGGCGGCTCTGGAGAGGGGCGCGCTCACGCTCAGCCACACTCACCCGCTCACAGACATCCCCCTCCCCCCGCTCACTATGGCAGTACATGCACGCCATAGTACATTCCCTCCGTGGCACAGAGCCCGGGCACAGGGCGGCAGCTCTGGGGTCCTCTCCTTCACTCCCCAGCAACCTCGAAGAACCCAAAGGGAAGTGGCCCTGCTTCCTCCGTCCCCCGCCAGCCTCTTGGGTTGGGGTTTTTATTTTTTCATTTAGTACCCAACTTGTTCGATTGAACTCTCCTACAGCTGGAGACAGTTCTTGACCTGGGAAGGTAGGAAGATGTGGGGGGTGAACTCATGACCTTTGCCTAGGACTAGCACAGAATCCTCTATTCCATGAGAGTTGGTTTCTGCAGAGAAAGAACCCCGGGGAGGGGGAAACTTACTAATTCAGCCAGAGTCCTCTGTTGATTGTTTTCTTCCCTGAGCGCAGTTTCTGATGAGAGGCGTCTGAAACGTAGGGAGTGGGAATAGATGCGTGGGTGGAATTCTGCGTGGGAGGAAAGGCTGGGGTTAATTGGCTGAATGTTGCTTGGCGGGAAGTTTCTATGCCGAGGACGCTGTGCGGTTAGTGCGGATGGCAGGGGCCATCAGCTAAGGTTGAAAAAAGGGCGCAAACCGGGTCTGGGCGATAGGGGGACCTCCACCCACCCATCCCAGCACGGCCGACTGGAGACAGCGCGCCCCACCACCCGCGAACCGGGAGAGGAGTGTGCCACAGCCCGGAGGCGCCGCGGGCGCTAACAGCGCAGCGCGGAGGCACCCGACAGTGGTTGGGTCTGGGTATGCGCGGTGCCAGATTTGCCCCGGGAGCTCGCGAGACAGCTTTAAGAAAGGAGCCCCGAGGTCTAAGCTGGTATGCTTATTTTGTCTGTTTTTCGTTTTTGGTCGCTGTTGTTTCCCCATCTTGAGATAATATCTTGGTGTACATTCGATAATTAAGAAGGAACTGTGGATGTTTGGGACGTTCGCCCGCACTCTGGGTGCGCTCCCGGTGCATAAAGCTGTGTATTTGCATAGCAGGGCCGCGGGCCGCCTGACTGCGGCTGCCGCGGGCGGATTATTTATTGCGACCATGCTGAGCGCTCGCTGCTGCCACGCTGTGGCCGTCGCTGGGACCGACGCCAGCCGCAGCCCAGCGTCGTGCAGCCTGCCGCGACTGCTGTGCCGGCCCCTCAGAATCCCCAGCAGGCGGGGGAAAGAGGGGCGAAGTGGAGGTGTAGGGGCTGTCTTCTCGGGCCTGGCTGGCCTGGAACCGTCCCCCGCTTTGTCCAACTCCGACAGGAGCTGGATGGAGGACTAGACTCGGTGCCCCCTCCCCCATAGAGACTGGTTGCACAGGCCGCCTGGCACGTCATGGCTGCTTCTGTCCAAACTGCGCGTCCCAAAGCGCCCTGGGGGTGCGCGCTGGCTCAAGGGACGCGCCTGTTTTGGGATTCTGTAATCGGAGAGACCACTTGTAGTCCTGAGGCCTGCGGGGCCTGGCTGGCGCTGAGGAGGACTGGCTATAGGAAGGAAAGCGTTCTTTGGCTCTAAGCGAGGGCCTGCGACGGGCAGAGGCCACACCTGTGTGCGACGGGCTCTGATCTGGGCTAGAGAGATCCAGGACGGAACAAGATGGTCTTGGAAGCCCTCCACACACACCTGCCAGGCCACGTTCCTGGGCAGCAGAGGTCGAGGTGCTCAGTGGTCAGCCCTGTGAAAGGGCAGGCTGTGAGGCGCTGTTCTCCATCCGCCCCCGCTTGGAAAGCAGCTGAAAGGTAAGTGGACTTTGCATGTGGCTTTGACAGAGATGAAACAGAGAGAGAGAGAGAGCCTCTTGGAGAGGCTCCCATGGGCGTCTGAGGCTCCTGTTCGTGCCTGAGTAGATCGTGGCATATATATATATATATCCATCCCATGAATAGCACCTAAAGCAAAGCTGGTTGGAGAAATAAATTGGTCTGTTGCCAGTATGATAACGTGATATGCATCAGCCTTGGCTAAACGCAGAGATTTCAATTTAATATATTTTTTTCCTTAGTGCCTACACAAACTAGAGATATAATATTTTTTATTTCTCTTAGCTGAGAAATCAAATTCTCTTATTGGCTGGGGCAATTATTAGATTGAGACTCTAGGTCAAAGCATAACAAATAATAATAAGAGCAATATTACTGTCACCAGCCCTAGTGCTGTGTAGGACAAGGAGGAATGAAAGAAAAATTAGAAACGTAAACATTTATCAACATTTCTAAAGGGTTATTATTTTCATCTTAAATAATAACTTGCTTGCAATCACTGTCATCAGATGGACTTGTTTAAGAAACAATAACTCAAACACGATTTGCTTCTAATATAGATTTAAAGAAATAAATCCCTTGTAATTTTTGACTCCTGAGTTTTCATTTTCACCTATCAGATCCTGTCCATGAAGAAATAGGAGGGAAATTTCCAATTCTAACCTCTCCTACAAGGCCCTCCTTTGTGTGCGGAAAGGAGAAACTTTCCCGGGCTGGATCGATTGGGGTGCAGCCCCCATCGTAGGCCGCGGGCAGGCCACTTATAGGGGTGCCCCCAGGGGGGGGCTCTGTGGAGGCCAACATTAGGCCAGCCCCCGGCCACTTTTCTCCCTTTGGGGAGAAGGAAGAGTAGGGGGAAAAAATCAGAAAGCAAGGAAGAGATGAAGGAAGTTATTGCCAGATTCCTAGGGGGCATTGCTCACCCCCATCCCCAGTCCTGAACTACATCAACCTACATTCGACAAGGTTTTACAGTCTTATAAACACCCTCCGGAAATTTAGCCAAATCATATAAATAGTTTTTCCTCAGCCACCACAGAATTGGGGATTTTAAAGCTAATTTAAGGAGTTTTACAAGCCCAACAAACACAGTCATAAAAATGCCACTGGAACGATATCACATTTTACAAAACAAGGTTGTTCCGTGTGCTGTAAAAGTCAACTATCTCGAAGGCACACCTCTCAAGCAAGCGCGAGCAGGCCAGAACGGGCTTTTCATGTCTTGTCTGGGGATGGCCAGGCCTGTGATGGCGGCGAAGGCAGTTCAGAGGATTTCTGGAGCCCGTGAGAGAACTGTTTGTGGTCCTGGAGCAACCGAAGGCGGCAGGCCAGAGAAGCAGCCTCAGGAAAGGCAGGAGGGAGAGGCGCCCAGGACAGCCCTGGCTGTCGGGTGCCCGGGATACCAAGCCCATCAATTATCCTTCTGCCTTGGGCCCTGCAGCTCTGCCCTCTCTCTGCTCTGGCTCCGCCAGGGGCCCTGCATTGCCTGCGCCTCTGGAATGAGGACAGAGAAGATTCCACATCTGGATTCTGATCTGTCTCAGCTCTGAGCGGTTCTAACAGCAGAAGGCTAGTGCTAGTGATCTGGGTGAGGGGAGCAGGTTCCATGGCAGGTTTCGGTGGAACTGGGTCTCATGGTGGCTCTTCTGTAAGTCTCTTTCTTCTTGTAAACACTGGTTTCTGGCCTCTCGGTCCTCTGGGTTCAAAAGCAGGATGGCGAGGCACACAGCTGATGGGGGTGCTTTTAGGCTAGGCCGGCCCGTTGGAGGGGAGCCAGTAGGAACCCAAACAAGACATAGGTGTGGGAGGAGGGGCCATCGGGAAGAGTTTGTTTGGTGGCGTCCTGGTCAGCAGCTCGGTGGGCCTTACCCTCTCCTGGTGGGGATGAAAAGAGGAGGTAGGCGGGATGCAGAGATTCCTGGGGAGCGGGAGTGAAGATCAGGGAGGAGTAAAGGCCTGGTTTCTCACCGCCCTTTCTCTAGCCTCATTACCCACACCCATGGGTAGAGTTGCGCAGGGGGAGGAGCAACTCAGGGCCCTGCCGGGAGGGCAGGCCGGCAAGGAGCAAAGTCATCCTTGTCACCGCCCCTCCAGGCACGGGGCTGTCAGGTTTCCTGTTTGAAGGGGGGAAAAAAAAAAAAAAAAGAAGCCCAGCAAAATCCAATAAGGCAAAAAGGGGAGGAGGCAAGAGCGGGCCTTGCGAGGCCTCTGCTGCCGCCCGGGCGCTGGTGCCCCAACCCTGGCCTGGTCTTTGCACCTCGGCCCGGGCCGTGCCAGCCGCTGGCGTTCGGGAAGAGAGCTGGGCCGGCTGGCTGTGCGCGCCCATTAATCTGCCAGGCGGGCGGCGGGCGGGCGGGCTGGGGGCTGTTTGTAACTTTGCTGCCTCGGTCGCCGTGGTCCCCGGGGAGCAGGCTCCTGCGCTCGCTCCCATTGGCCGCCGCCGCGTCAGCTGGTGTGATTTGCTGCTGTCGCTTTTGGCGTTCGGCCATCCAGAAACAAACCAGTTCGATGACTACTAATAGTTATAGCCAGATGTACTAATACACAACAAATCACAGTCCTGCAGAGGGGTGCGCAAATGAATTCCTATTTTGTGAATCCCACTTTCCCCGGGAGCCTGCCCAGCGGCCAGGACTCCTTCCTGGGCCAGCTGCCCCTCTACCCGGCCGGTTATGACGCGCTGAGGCCCTTCCCGGCCTCGTACGGGACGTCGAGCCTCCCGGACAAGACGTACACCTCACCTTGTTTCTACCAACAGTCCAACTCCGTCCTGGCCTGCAACCGGGCGTCCTACGAGTACGGGGCCTCATGTTTCTATTCTGATAAGGACCTCAGTGGCGCCTCGCCCTCAGGCAGTGGCAAGCAGAGGGGCCCCGGGGACTACCTGCACTTTTCTCCCGAGCAGCAGTACAAACCCGACAGCAGCAGCGTGCAGGGCAAAGCCCTCCATGAGGAAGGCACCGACCGGAAGTACACGAGCCCTGTTTACCCCTGGATGCAGCGGATGAACTCCTGCGCGGGTAAGGCATTTCCCTGCAGCGCCCCCCGCCCAAGAGAGTGTAGGGAGAGGGGGAAGGGATCAGGGAAAGAAGGAAGGAAGGAGAGAGGGACAGAGAAAGGAAAAGTAGACGTGAAAAAGAGCCAGAAAGGGAAGCATGAACAAAGTTTCTTTGACTTTTTAAAGAGATTAACAAACAAACCAACAAACAAACCCCAAACCTATTCCCAATGGTCCAGTCAGGCCAAGGCAGAGAAAAGGCAAGGCGCTAGTGTCCATGTAATGTGACACCTTGGGGGGGGGGTCACTGCCACCTTATGTAAGACCGTCTCAAGACAATCTCAAGAGAAAGGAGGCAAGAAAGAGGAAGACTGGGTGAGAGGGAGTGTCTGCCCAAGCTATACCCTAGTAGCCCCCTGCTCAGGTTCCCCAGCTGAGAGGGCCTTCCACACTGCATCCCTGATAACTTCACTTTACTTCCCAACCCTCTCTCATTTCTGCCTTTCAGAAACCCCAATAGTCCCCCTCTGGTCTCTACCAGTGTCTCCCTAAAACCTTGAAGAGCCACATCCCCAGCTTCAGGGTTTCTTTTCTCTCTGTGCTTCCTCCCCTCCTCCCTCTTCCACTCCACTGCTCAGTCTTAGCCAACTTAAGCCTCCCCACCCCTTGTCTGAGCCTCCCACTCCTGGCTTGGGGGGGAAATCCCCCACCCGTGGGCTTCTTTGGCATCAGAACTGACAGTACCACACAGTTCCACATTTCCAGAAATGCCTGCCATCCTTAGCTCCATCTCTTCACCTCTGGTTTCCAAAAACTCCACAGGGAATCTTCTTTTCCCTTGCTGCAGGACACAGTCTAAAGCAGATTTTTTTAAAAAAACTTAATTATAGTATTTTGTTTTAAAATTCACTTCTTTTTTTCAAGGGAGCTTACTGTTACTCAGAAGGGCCATATAATTTTGGGAGAAATTGTAAGAATTTGACAGGGCTGACAATTTAAGTTTCCAAGGAGCATGCTGAATCTTGACATGGTTGGCCATTGGGAACATCCTCACAGAGACCCATGTGTGAATTCTGAGTGGTCTACACTACTACACTACTCGCAAGGTTGCAAACCTATCTCCTTCCAGACACACACACACACACTACCCCACTAAAACACGGCTCAGGGGCCCTGAATTAAGAACACTTTTTCTATTCTTTCACTTGTAATAGTTTTCTTAAGAGACAGATTTTTTAAAAGCATTAACTTTTCACCTTAAGTCGTTTGAGGTGGAAAAAAATCTCGACTAGTATGAAATAATCTTCTCCCATCCAGTCTGCTTTCTGGTCAAATATAGCGGGAGAGGCTAGAGTGCAGACCGAATAGCTTTCAGCGCAGAGGCCCAAGGAGCAGGGAGCCGGGTTGGCTGGTTCGGTCACTGCGACTCTCGCTCACCCGCGCCTGGCCATTCCTGCCCGCAGGTGCTGTGTACGGGAGCCACGGGCGCCGAGGCCGCCAGACCTACACTCGCTACCAGACCCTGGAGCTGGAGAAGGAGTTCCACTTCAATCGCTACCTGACGCGGCGCCGCCGCATCGAGATCGCCAACGCACTCTGCCTGACCGAGCGCCAGATCAAGATCTGGTTCCAGAACCGCCGCATGAAGTGGAAAAAGGAGAATAAGCTTATCAATTCCACGCAGCCCAGCGGGGAGGACTCCGAGGCAAAGGCGGGCGAGTAGATGTCTGGGCAAGGACCAGGCCAGCGCCGCAACCTCCCTGGGCTTTGCCCCCTTGCCCTTGCCTGCTCCCCAAATTTTCTCTCCGCCTGCTCCCACCTGGGGTGCAGCTTCAGGAAAGCCCGGAGCTTTGTAAGCATTTCTAACAACAACAACAACAAAAAAAAAAAAGCCTACAAACACTGGATCTGAGCGATCGGTGGAGCTGGGTGCGTTGCACACATACAGTCTGGCTCCCCAAGGCTGCCTAAACCCGCTCCGGGGCACCAGGGCGTGCCCCGAATTCATCTCTGGCTCTTGTGCGAGCGTCACTGAGCGCCCAAAGCTCAGAGCGCGGGGGTCGCTGTCGGTCTCAGGATTGCTGGGGAGAAAAGAGCCCATTTTGGGGTTTGGGCGTCTCTGCCTCTTTCCCTTGCCACCAAGTCCCGGAGGGCACTATCAAATCGACTCTGTCACTGGAAAGAGGGGGCCTAGGGCCTAGGGCCCCAGCCCTTCCATGACCTCCCAGACCGCCCTCAGATAGGAAGGAGAGTGAGGAACAAAGGGGGACCCCGAGAGAGCTAAGCCTCTTGGCACCGGCTGTAACCGCCAGTGGAAGAGACGCAGCCTCAGCTGAGTGGAGGCAACCTGGGCCCGGAAGGAACTTTACAGCCTGGGGAGCGAGCGGGCTCCTGCGGGCTCCTGCAGACTCCTAGCTCTCGATTCCTGTTCCCAGCCTTCTCGGACACAGCGTCGGCTTCACCACCACAGCAGCTTTAAGGACCTAGCAAGGGGGCCCAGGACCATGGGAGAAGCTGGAATCCTAGCTTTCAAACGTGCCTGGGGCGCCTACGATGCCCGCTGTCCGGCGAAGAGGTCCCCTTTGCCTTTTGGCTATATTTGTGATTTACTTTCGTCTTCTAGAGCCCAGGAAAAGAACCACGGAGCTACCAGGCACTGCAACGACATGCTTCTATTAGCGCCCTCGTTTTACTCTTGGAGGTCTAAGCAAAACACCAGTAATTCGGCCCACGGATCCCCAATTCTTAAACAGCCTCTGTGGCCGCAGGGAGCCTGGGCCCACTGGCCAGGTTCACTGAGAACCTTCCGGCTTGGGGCCCGGCTGCCCCGAGGAAGGGAACCGGCTGGCAAAGATTCTCCAGGCTGGATAATTAAGCAAATCAAATGGCAAGCTAATGACACAAAAACCATATTTTTCACGAAAGAAAAATCGACTCCGGTCATAAAAGTGTGTGGAATTTGACCTCGCCTCGGAAAAACACTACACAAAAGCTATCTTTAATAGACGCCTGTCATTTAAGAGCGGCAGGGACACTGTCCCTCATGCACTCACAAAAACAGAGCCATAATTGTAGCTGCTGCCGCTGCTGCAGGCAGGATTTATTTCCCCAATTGGCTAAATGGCCTCCTCCCTTCCCCGAAGGTGATATCTGTATTTTCAAAATTCAGAGCTGCCGGCAGGACGGGCACAATCGAGACCAATCTCGACACAAAATGAGAGGGGCTGCAAAACGGGGGAAATAAAGTTGTTGTGAATGCCAAAATTCGAGCCACCCTCTCCCCCTGATCCTTTGCATCCTCGCCGGACGCACGATCGGCAGCTGACGGCCTCACAATTGGTACATCCTAATGGAACTGCGAGGGAAATGTAATAATTTTGCCATAATGGGCTGTAACCTCAGTTCGACCCCGGCCCTTGCAGCCCGGGGTCGGAAGCGGGGCGATGCGACTTGCCTCCAGCGGGTGGCGCTCGAGTCCGACTGAACGGCGGCGGCGGACGACGGGCACGAGCCTGGGGTGCGCGCGCCACCCCTCTCGCCTCCACCCAACTCCCCCATTAGTGCACGAGTTTACCTCTAGAGGTCATCAGGCAGGATTTACGACTGGACAACAAAAGCACGTGATTCGAAGTCGTACCCCATATTTGGGTGCCTACGTAGGAGGGAACCAAGTACATGTCCCAGTCATTTCCATAATTCATCATAAATTGTGCAAGGGTGCTATAGACGCACAAACGACCGCGAGCCACAAATCAAGCACACATATCAAAAAACAAATGAGCTCTTATTTTGTAAACTCATTTTGCGGTCGCTATCCAAATGGCCCGGACTACCAGTTGCATAATTATGGAGATCATAGTTCCGTGAGCGAGCAGTTCAGGGACTCGGCGAGCATGCACTCCGGCAGGTACGGCTACGGCTACAATGGCATGGATCTCAGCGTCGGCCGCTCGGGCTCCGGCCACTTTGGCTCCGGGGAGCGCGCCCGCAGCTATGCGGCCGGCGCTAGCGCGGCGCCAGCCGAGCCCAGGTACAGCCAGCCGGCTACGTCCACGCACTCGCCTCCGCCCGACCCGCTGCCCTGCTCCGCCGTGGCCCCCTCGCCCGGCAGCGACAGCCATCACGGCGGGAAAAACTCCCTGGGCAACTCCAGCGGCGCCTCGGCCAACGCCGGCAGCACCCACATCAGCAGCAGAGAGGGGGTTGGCACGGCGTCCGGAGCCGAGGAGGACACCCCCGCCAGCAGCGAGCAGGCGAGCGCGCAGAGCGAACCGAGCCCGGCGCCGCCTGCCCAACCCCAGATCTACCCGTGGATGCGCAAGCTGCACATAAGTCATGGTAAAGCCAGCCTTTTTCTAAATCCACGCGGCTGCGAGGACGCAGCTCTCGGTACCCTCTTTCTCCTTCGCTGCCCTCTCCCTGCTTCTCCCCTGGTCTCGCCTCTCGCAGCCCCACCGCGCCTCTCCCTGCGGTTCTCTCTCCCCCTGCCTTCCTCTTTCCTCCTCTGTGCCGCGTCCTGCACTCGCAGATTGGTGCGGGGGTTTGTTGGGGGAGCCGTCGCTGACCCGGCGAGTTTATACGTTAAAAGGGGGAGGGGAGGAAAAAACCCTATCTTGAACCCCAGCGCCTTGGAACGCGCTTCCCGGTCAAACCAGCCAAGCAGGGCGCAGAGAGGTAGAGGACAGCAGTAGGGGCCGTGAATCGGGCTTGTCAGGACGGATAATTTATGAGGAGGGCGACGCTGGCTGGGGAAACAGCGTTACTAATTAGAGCCCCCGAAAAGGGGCTTGGGGGGAATAACCGAGGCGAGAGCCGGCGGGATTCTCAAGTTTGGGGGCAGGAGGGAGAAAGAAGGGAAGAAAAAGCAACCAGGCGCCCCAAAGGTGCAGGCTGGAACAGGAGGCGGCTCTCGGGGCTGGAACTTTAACGAAGGGTGACTTGGAGGCCACTTGGGCGCTCAGGAAAGGGCCGTGCTTCAATGGCTGTCTGAGTGGTGGGCAGCCTGGGAGGGCTATGGCCCCGGCTCAGGGCGCGCCTGGGGCAGGGCCAGAGGGCAGGAGAGGGCCGAGGGCCAGCCAGGGCAGCCCTCTGGGACGCGGCTCCAGCCTCAGATGGGCCGATTGTTCCCAGAGTCCAAATCGTATTGTTTTCTTTCTAGAGAGGAAGAGGGAAGGAAACTCGGGAGGGGTGGGAGGGCGTGGAGGGAGGACTTGTTGAGCCTTTCGCGCCCCCCTTCACTGCTCAGGACCCTGGCTCGTCCATCTGGTGGACTTCAGAAACCGGGGGGCTGAGGAGTTGGTGGCTAAACCGCTGACTTTTCTGTTGCAGACAACATAGGCGGCCCGGAAGGCAAAAGAGCCCGGACGGCCTACACGCGTTACCAGACCCTGGAGCTGGAGAAGGAGTTCCACTTCAACCGCTACCTGACCCGCCGAAGAAGGATTGAAATAGCCCATGCTCTTTGCCTCTCCGAGAGACAAATTAAAATCTGGTTCCAAAACCGGAGAATGAAGTGGAAAAAAGATAATAAGCTGAAAAGCATGAGCATGGCGGCGGCGGGAGGGGCCTTCCGCCCCTGAGCGTTGAAAGTACTGAGCGGTATTAGCGGATCCCGCGTAGTGTCAGTACTAAGGTGACTTTCTGAAACTCCCTCGTGTTCCTTCTGTGAAGAAGCCCTGTTCTCGTTGCCCTAATTCATCTTTTAATCATGAGCCTGTTTATTGCCATTATAGCGCCTGTATAAGTAGATCTGCTTTCTGTTCATCTCTTTGTCCTGAATGGCTTTGTCTTGAAAAAAAAAAAAATAGATGTTTTAACTTATTTATATGAAGCAAGCTGTTACTTGAAGTAACTATAACAAAAAAAGAAAAGAGAAAAAAAAAAACACAAAAAAAGTCCCCCTTCGACCTCGTTTAGTGCCAATGTTGTGTGTTGCACTCGAGTTGTTAACTGTGCATGTGCGTGGAAGTGTTCCTGTCTCAATAGCTCCAAGCTGTTAAAGATATTTTTATTCAAACTACCTATATTCCCTGTGTAATTAATGCTGTTGTAGAGGTGACTTGATGAGACACAACTTAACTTGTTCAACGTGTAGTGACTAGTGACTCTGTGACGAAAACTGTGACTCCAAGCGGTGTGTCCCTGCGTGCCTTTGTAGGACCCTTTGCACGAACTCTGGAAGTGGCTCTTATAAGCGCAGCTTCAGTGATGTATGTTTTTGTGAACAAAGTTACAAATACTGTCCAAGTCTGGCTGTTTAAGCAAACTGTGATCAGCTTTTTTTTTTTTTTTTTGTATTTGTTTTTAAGGAAAAAAAAAATACTGACTGGAAACAAAAAAATAAACTTTCTATTGTAAGTTCTCTTGGTTTGGTTTATGCCAACTAGTGAGCGGCTCTTTCTGCTTTCCTGTCTCTCTGTCCAGTCCTGAAAGCCAAGGAGTGGGGCTACCTGAGCAGCCTGCCTATCTATGCAAGGAGGCCTCAGTCCAACCCCTGACCTGCCGCCTTCCTCTCTGACCCATCAGAAAGTTCAGGGCACCAAGTGGAGGAGCTTCAGGCCAGTCCAAAGCCTCAGTCCACCTTGCCCATCTCTGAGGAAATGAAGTGAACTTTCTGGGTACAAAAGGAAGAGGAGGAGATGAAAAAGAAGGAGAAAGAAAGTAGGGCTTTGTTAGCGGCCCTCAAGGCCCACACAGGTCCTATTTCTCTCCTAGGCTGTCCTGGGCCTCCACTTGCTGCATGGGCTACTATGCCAGCTTATGTTCCCCAAACCCTGTACCCTTACCCCACCCCAGC